CCCTCCGCAATCGAGAACTAAGGGCACATGATCGGACATCACCCTAACTAGAGCTGCCTGAGTAACATCCGAGAATTTCTCTTCCCATTCCCCAGAAATTAGGAATCTATCTAGCCTTGAAAAAGTAACCAGATCCCTGCCATTAGACCAAGTAAAGACTGCCCCTTCCTATGGCAGATCAATAAGAAAGTGACCATCAATAAAATCTGAAAACTGGGTCATCTCCAAGGACCAGCTACCCCTTGTGGACCTCTCTACCGAAGACCTAACAGAATTAAAATCCCCGCTTAAGCAACAAGGCAACGACCACAATCCCTTAACGTAGCTGATTTCTTTCCAAAAGATTGGTCTATCACAATCAATAACGGGACCATAAACTCCAAAAATGACCCAGCTGAAATTATCATCCTCCATCTGAAATACACATGAGAAGTAGTGCCCTTTCCATATGTTCGTTCTGGACATCCATCTTCGATCCCACATAATTAGAATTCCGCCCGATGTGCCGGAGGCGTTTAATGCTTCCCATTCCACAAACCTTCCCCCCAAAAGACTCCTAACCACCTCATCAGTAATAGAGGTCATCTTGGTTTCTTGCAAGCATATAACATGGGCACTCCACTTCTTTACAGCAACCTTGACCACCCTTCTTTTATCCGGATCATTTAGACCACGGACATTCCATGTAATAATTCATAACTTCATTAAGAACTAAAAAAGATCAATTCCCCTCCTCCCCATTTCCCGCTTCTGGTCCTTCCCCTTTCTTTAGTCACCCTATCCTTCCCCTCGTAGTTTACATAGGAAATAAGATTCTTGACCTCCTGTTCCCCTTTCCGATGTGATAAATGTTTTCTATTTTTAACATCTTTTGTGCCTTGAAAGGTCTCTGTATATCGTTTCCTACCACAATTGCATGAAGAATGGACTGAGTTCGGTCATCCTCACCCTCCGAAGAGACACCCAAAGCTTCATTAACCACGCCAATATTTTCTATCACCCAATCCATACCCAAATCATTAGACGTCGCTAGGCAATCAGGGCGCACAACTGCCAAAGGTTCCATTATGTCCACATCAGATTGATCACTTCCAGACGTCTTTTTTGAAGTATCGATCCGTGACCCTTCAACCTGTGAAACAATAGCCCCAGAAAAGCCCCTCTGTTGAACCGAACTATTCTCCACACCACCACCACCACTTCTCAACACCCCACACGAAGGAGGAGTAGAAATAGAGCTCTGAGAATGAGAAACAGAATTCAAACCTGGAAAATTAGAGGCAGGAGAGGTTACAGACTGTTACCAGACTGTTACCAAGAATCCATAATCCCTCCCAACTCAGACTCATGCAAGATCAACTACTCTAGATCTTCTAGCCGCTGATCTGTTGACAGATACACCCCTCACGCAATCTGCTTCTCCTCCAAGGATCTTCCATCTCCATGCTAATAATGTCCTCTTGTGTGTAGAGTTGTTGTGAAAAGTCCTTAGCGCAGCAACTGATACTTCAATAACTGAACGATCCACTCACGATTCTGTATGCATGATGATGAATGCAAAAACAAAAACTTCTAACCAAAGGATCACTAGAATGCACAAGCAATGTGAATTGTAAGCCTATAAGAACTAGTGTACCCTAGAACTTATGCTTGTGTGGTCTCTCTGTTTTTCTGAACTATACATGCCTTCATATAGATTTTAGAATCAGAGAAAGCTAGGGTTTCTAGGTGGTTTAATTAAAAAAGGAAACTCTGAACTGAGCTGCTTGATAGATCGAGCCAGGTAGGCCAGTAGGCTTGGATTAATACCTCAATTGATCGACGTCTGTTGCCCTAATTTAATCTGGATTCTGATTTGATTTTGTTTCCAGAAACATTTTTAATGCACATAGAAATAGTTCAACAGAACAAACGTGCAAATCATGAAACCCTAGTTACTATATACAAAACCGTAATTTGGGAGTGTCCCAATTCAAGTTGTAATTTACCTTTCGTCCTTGCAACTTTGTGAAAATTCTGATCCGCCCTTGGACAAGGTATTTCCAAACTTAACTAACCAGACAAACTAAAATAAACAAAATACAGACACTAAGTTTTCGATCACAAACTTGTCAATCTAAGTCCTTTAACCTAACCATTTTGAAAAATGGGTTCAAAACAACATTTTTAGTCTTTTAAAGATCACAAGGATTGAGCCCAAGAGATTTCCAGCATGTTCTTCGCCGATCTTCATCCCCATCATCTTCTTTCAGTTGTAGACAAGTGACTCGAGACATTTACCACAATTTACAACCCTAAGTGCTAAGCAAGATTTTTCCAACACGTGATAAATAACCTAACAGTAGCCATAGCACACAATACAATATACAGGCACACCGATGTGCTTATACCTTACTTTTTGGTATGGTGGAAATGATATTTACCAATGTGTAATGTCTCTTTTGGTGCTACACATAGACCAAAAAGTTCATTTAGAAGATAATACGAAGCATCAGATTGTAATTCAGTATTTTCTATTTTCCACATCAAGTTTCAGATTACAGTGTAGCAGCCAAATCACACAAAACAGAGAGCCTTGCAACCAATGAACAAGAGGGAAATTAACCAATAAAACAATCAAGAAAAAGATAGCTTCCTCCGTCTAAATTTGCAATCAAGCCGAACCAATAAATCAGTTTGCAATATTCAATACATTTTCCTCTTTTCAATATTCAAGTTGTTTGCATATCAGACATCAATCAGTTTGACTACATAATTGATGAATTAAGACAATAATCACTCAGAAAAAATCAAACTGTAAGGTTTCTAGCATACTCTAGTTAGATGAGACTCAAAGCATAGTTTGTTGATATTCAAGTCTCTGTAGATTGGATCATTTGCCCATTTCTTTCAAGAGAAATCATAAAACAACAATCTCACGGTGACAACAAGGGGACAGCTACTCACAGATGTTCAAGCACTATGAACAATTTTCTTGGATCAATTGTATCGGCAGGAAGGAATTGGCATGGGTTAATGACAATTTGTTTTGGATTCCCTCCTCTCACGGGCATTTTGCTGTAAGGTCTTTGTTCTTATGTTTGTCTAATTTTGCATCTTATGATTTTCCATGATAGACTATATGGCGCTCTATGGTTCCTACTAGGGTGGCATTCTTTGTATGGACTGTTGTTTGGGGTAAGATTCTGACGATCGATAATTTGAGGAAAAGGGGAAATTATATTGTTAATCGGTGTTGCATATGTAAGCAGGATGGGGAGTCAGTCGATCATCTCAAAATGCATTGCTCTGTAGCGCACGATTGCTGGAATCTCATTCTTGGCCTATTTGGCATGTGCAGGGTAATGCCACGTTCTACTAAGGAGTTGATTCATGCTTGGAGAGGTTGTCGTGTGAGTAGGAGTATTCGTGATTATTGGAGATCTGTACCACATTGTATTGGGTGGTGCATCTGGAAGGAGCGAAATAGTAGAATGTTTGAAGGGAAGGAGTCGTCTACAGCTACTCTGAAACTCTTTATTATTCGTTCTCTATTTAGTTATGTGAACAGAAGTTCGTGTTCCTCTTCTGTTGATTTAATTTCTTTTTTGGATTCTTTGGGGCCTTAGACCCCGGTTTCTCTTATGTCTTCGGGATGCGTTCCCCTATTGAACGCCTTGTTTAATTTATTATTACTTATCAAAAAAAAAAAAGAGGGTAAGATAAGCAACTCACTTGATGATAAGGTGACTAAAAATTTATAGTAAGATGGAGCAGATCATGCAGATGTATTAAAAACCCAAAAACCTGGTCATCGAGGGAAGGGCTGAAAGGTTTCAAGCTGGAATCTGTTTTATTAAATTATGTTAGCTGTAGGTTTGGTCAAGTATCTTCAATAAAAAGATGCTTGAAAACTTGCAATGTCTGCACCAAATTGGCATTGGTTTTGCCTTTAATCATGTATTAAAAGAGGGTGAATCCAGCCTCTAAATCGTTCCCAAGTTTGCAAAAGCACCTAGAGGGAAGAAAGGGATGATAATCCTTTCTATCATTCTTGTCTATTGTTATTTGGAAACTGAAAATTGGAATCTGTAACGTTAAACATTTCAGAGATATATCAACTATCAACGTAAAACGAAATCAGGGAACCGAGGAACATCAATTATGTGAGGGAAGTATTAATCCTAATGCTACATTGTTCATTTAGACTGACCCATTTCTGAAAAGCAACCTAATGCTTAGATAACTAGAGGCAATTAAGTATTTTTATGAAGCACCAACAGCTTGCAATGGAGCGGTTAATCAGGTAACGTGGTGCCAAATAAAATAGCTAAAATTGGTGCAGTCCATCTGGCATGCTCAGGGTCGCAAATTCAACACGCCAGGTTCAAGTGGGTTTAGGTATTAGCATGCTCTTATTTTGGCTTGCTGCTATTACAAGCGACAAACATAATTAAACACACTCAAAAAGGCTTATTTCAATTTACTCAACCCTGCCTATGCGGGACTAGCTGGACCATAAATTGGATGGATTTATTATTGAATTCTTAAACCCAAGTATGGGCTGTAGCTAGCAGAGCAGTGGGAGTATGCTTTGATTGGGTCACTCTTATCACATCCTTACAGACCCTAACATAAAAGTTAACATCACAAAAGCAACAAAGCTAATTTTTCCTGTCAATTTTCTTTCTTCGACTCCATGAACATCATTTATCACCATATTATGCTTAATGAGAAATAACAACTTCGCTGCATTAACAAAAACAAGCATATGTGGAAAATTAAAAGGTGAACATCATCATATATAACAGTATACAAATTATAATTTATCTGAAATAAATAAATAAATTGATATTCCAAATGTCATATTCGGTTTCCCGCTATGTGGAGAATGGCGATATGTTGAAATGCCGTCACATTGAGTAGAGAGCAACGTACTACTATGCAGAAATTGAAAACAAAGTTGTGATATCTAATTCGGTAGGTGGCACAAATGAAGTTGCTGAGAGTTAGGAACTCACTGGAATAAATGTTGAGAACAACTTTCAGAATCACCTATTAACATTAATTGCCTAAGATCATAGACATGCTTTCTTTGCACCTGATAGAGGGACCAAAAAGAGACTTAAAATAAGCCATAACAGTTTAAATTAAGTAAAACCTCAGATTTAAATCGAATGATGTATTCTTTTCTCAAATAATCAATAAAAATTCCAACATAAATCGTTTTGCCAATAAGAAATTTTTGCTATTTTGATTATTATAAACAATGTGCTTATAAAGAAAGATTTCACTAATTCCAATAAAAGTAGTTTAAGGTGCAACAGCTTCTCCTTATTAAAATGAGAGTCTGCAACCCTAATAAATGATTTAGTGTCAACTTTGGAGTAGAATGAATGAGGGCAATAACTAGTCCGAATAAGGCATTCTTATCCTCAAATGCATACCTCTAGAACTTCATCGAACTCCACCAGGCTCTTTCTTATGCCAAAAAAGAATTTCTCCGCATTGATTTGCAACGCCAAAAGCTGAAAGTTTTGTGATAGTTTAACCTCATAGAAAGGAGATCATATTGACAATGACAAAAAAATAAAAAGAAAAATAGGATAAAAAAGCTAGATTTAAAATGAAAAGAAAAGACCATGGTCGAGAGTATTGAACCACACCTGTTTTACAATTGCATTGCCTTCAATCGGTAGATCCTCATCATTTGTGATTCTCGAAATAAGTTTCACAGCCCACTCAGTGTCAAAGTCAAACTTCTGAAACATCTCATCCTGCAAACTGTAACGTCAAAAGTTAATTTGCATTACTCTGTGGCACCTTAATTCATAAAATCCACATCCCAGTTTCATATAATAACAATAATAGAAATAATAATAAAATCGTCTTTGGAGAAGACAAGTATTGATGTCAAATTACAATTAAGTCGGGAATCGTATCTTCTTACAAAATATCAGGCATGGGTCTCATTTATAAAGATCACATTATTAACCAAAGATAAAAAAATAAAACATCTACTAAAGTAACCACGTACACAAAGAGTTTGAGTTGGAATAACTTAGCCAATGGGCAATTTGACAAATAAGATGGCAGTTTCAATGAGCAATTTGAGCAGAAATGATTTTTTTTTTATTGAAACATTCTGCCATATAAAATGCCATTTAAAAGCTCAATTTTAAGCCAATGAATCAGCCTAAGCTTGTTGTTTCAGATGTCTACCTCAATCTTCCACCAGGCACCACTATATACCGTAGTTCACTCATAACTCTTAAAATAAATAGACAAATATCATTGCAAGGAAAGGCTGACAATCGCATCTGTGGCTTCATTGATTAAAGTTTGTTTTTTTCCCTCAACTTACTTCACTCTCCTGTTAGAATTTGTTCTGCTTTCTCTATCTATTTATTTAATTATTTTTTGAAACAAGTATCGCAGCAACTCAGGAGACCACAAATGGTCTGCAAGAAACATTGGCCCAACAAAAACAAGAATACCCCCACCCCGCCATATCTTACCACCCCATCCCACCAATAGGCTAAGACGACCTGAGGAATCTACTACTGCAGGTGTCTTCATGGGATCTGAACCCTCACTGCACTTGGCGGATCAATTATTATCTCACCCAAGCATCATGATTCAAGTTGGATCAAACTTTAAAGGCTGTGAGATTATAATTCAGTAACAGATAGGATTTGCACCTCTTACTGAAGCTTGAACTGCTTTACACCGAAAGCAGTTCCATTGGGAGGGTCCACCTAGGGTGTAAAAATAGCTTGCCCAAGTTGCATCTTAACCCTTAAAAATTGGAAACTCTAGCTCCATTGCAGAAGCATCTAGAAAAAAAATATAAAAATTATTGAAGGGTCGTACACCATTCACAAATGACTGCCTTAGTAATAATTGACATTGTTTGGGATTAAAGTGCTATTACAACTATGGGAAGGGAGAAAACTAAAAAACCTTCAGTTGAGGATTGGACACAATATGGAGGCCATTGCTGAGTAGTGGGGCCAGGTGGATTGTTCCAGTCATGAATAAGTTAAAGAACTCCTGATGATCTTAAGTTCTTAACTATCCCCATATATTGGCTTCAGTGGTTCAAATAACCCTATCTATAGGGTATGGTTACAACAAACGCTTTTGACCGAGTCATTCAGTTGCTTACCTTTTTTCTTTTTCTTTTTCTTTTTCTTTTGCATTGATTTGCTTTCCTTATCTAAGTAAATAATTGAATTTTGACAATAAAGTGCATTTTAGAATTACTTTAGTTATGTAAAAAACCATAAAGTTCAACCAAAAAGAGAAAATATCAGCACCTTACCTCACCATAAACCGCGTTGATCCGGGATCTCCTTGCCTGCCAGCTCTGCCACGAAGCTTTTAAAACATATAACAATTTTCAGATTAACGGTGTGTTTAAAATGGAAAAAATAACCAATGGGCACTAGCCTAGATGATATAAGCTATCCCCCTAAATTGGGACATTGAGTGTTCAAGCCTCGGTGGAGGCACAATATATATAATGGGTGCGTGTGCTTACTTGAACTTTCAAAAAAATAAAAAAAAATGGAAAAAATATAACACGAATCTTTTTAGAAGCAAATAAAGCCAAATTTTAAATTATCAAGACGTATGAGTTGAAAATATTTGCAGCCTATGTGCTCTTTGAAATTATAATGGATGAATCTGTAGAATTTCCAGAAGCAAGTAAAGCTCTTGAAGAATTAGATGATGGAACTGATCCTTGCTGTGTGACTGTGATGCCTAGGGATTCTAGGCGTGATCACCTAGATTATCTTTTGCCCTCCTTTATTTTCTCCTCATTTCTCAGAACTGTTGAGCACTTTTTTTTCTTTTTTTTTGGATAAATAAAAGAATATTATTAAAAGACGCTCAAGAGGGGAGCAAATCCCAAGGAAATACAAAGGAGCGCAAAGGTCTCAAGCCTTCAAAGAGGCCAAAAAATCAACAATTTCCTCCAACGATCTATGATCTCTCCCTGAAACCCAACAAAAAAAAAGTGGAAATAATCGAGAATTTAAGCACCGAAATCGACACCGCCTTTCCTTCAAAGTATCTCATATTCCTTTCAAGCCAAATACACCACCACACACAAAGCGGCGTAGCTCTCAACTCTCTAGTAGATCCTAGCATAACCCAATAAAACCCAAATAAGCCAAGCATCAAATCCCAATACTCTCTAGCCAAAGAGCAATGAATAAGAAGGTGATCCACAGATTCCTCATCACGAAGACACATATAACAACGATTGACCACCACCTGGCTTCTCCTTCTCAAATTATCCTGGGTTAAGATCCTACCCAGAACCGAAGTCCACACAAAGAAAGCCACTTTGAGAGGAGCCTTAGAACGCCAAACAGACTTCCAAGGAAAACGAACTCCAGGATCAAAAGAGAGGCACTTGAAGAAAGGCCTCACCTCAAAACGCCCCTTGGAGTTTGCGACCCAAGACCAACAATCCGAATCCTCCACCACAATCCTCTGGCGATATAACAACTCCAAGAGACGAATTGCCTCATCAATCTCCCAATCCTGAAAGGCACGCCTGAATCGAACATCCCAAACCAGTCTCCCATTATCAAGATGATAACAGTTAACCACCAAGGCCTGCCTATCCGAAGCAATCTTGTAAAGCTGAGGAAAGGCAAGAGCAAAAGGAGCATCACCACACCACACATCCTCCCAAAAACAAATCCTCCTCCCATCTCTAAGACGAAACCGAATGTGCTTGGAAAAATCATCCCAACCCTTCCGAATAAATTTCCAAACTCCCACCCCCCGAGGATTTCTAACTTCTAAAGAGCTCCACCCTCCCCTCATCTCTCCAAAACGACAAGCCACAACCCTCCTCCAAAGCCAATGTCTCTCCACACAAAACCTCCACAACCATTTTCCAAGAGGGCCTTATTAAAAGGCACCAATCTACGAAGACCCAGCCCACCATTCCGAATAGGCCTGCAAACCTGATCCCATCTCACCAAATGGAACTTAAACTCTTCACCTCTACCCCCCCACAGAAAATTACGCTGCAACCTCTCAATCCTCTCCGCAACTGAGGATGGAATCTAAAAGAGAGAGATAAAATAAGTAGGAAGGCTAGAGAGGGTACTCTTAATCAGAGTGACCCTGCCGCCCTTAGAAAGATACTGCTTCTTCCAACCTGCCAACCTTCTCTCAAATCTATCCACAACTGGATCCCAAATCCCCACACACCTCGAAGGAGCTCCCAGAGGCAAACCTAAGTAAGAAATGGGAAAAGCACCAGTGCGACATCCAAGGATGTCAGCAAAAGTCTCAATCTCAGGAACCTCCCCAACCGGCACCAAAACACTCTTGCCCACATTCACCTTAAGGCCGAAGACAACTTGGAACCAAATCAAGACACATCTCAGATATCTAATCTGGGACATATTCGAATCACAAAGAACCAAAGTGTTATCAGCAAACATCAAATGAGAGATCTCCAACTGAGAAGCAGCATCCCTGCCCACCCGAAAGCCTCTCACAAGACCCACATCAGCAGCCCTTCGCATCAATTTACTAAGGGCCTCCATCACAAACAAGAACAAGAAGGGGGAGAGAGGATCCCCCTGTCTCAAGCCCCTTGAGCTAGAGAAAAAACCGGTAGGAGCACCATTAACAAGGATCGAAAAGCAAGCACTGGAAATACAAAACTGAATCCATCTCCTCCACCTATCACCGAACCCCATCCTCTCCATCAAGTACAGAAGGAAGCTCCAACTCACATGGTCATACGCTTTCTCAATGTCCAACTTACAAAGAACACCCGGGACCCCACTACGCAATCTAGAGTCCACACACACTTGCAATAAGGACTGAATCCAAAATCTGACGGCCTCCTACAAAAGCATTTTGAGAGTCCGAAATGATACCATCCAAAACTTTCCTCAATCTAGAAGCGAGCACTTTGGCAATCAACTTGTAGATACAACCCACCAAACTAATAGGGCGAAAATCCTTCACATTCAATGGGCCCCCCCCCCCCCCCCCCCCACTTCTTTCGGAATGAGAGCAATGAATGTGGCATTCAAGCTTTTCTCAAAAAATCCCTGAGAATGGAAAGCATGGAAAGTGCCCATCACCTCTCCTTTAACCACCTCCCAGCATTCAAGAAGAAACCTCATGGTGAAACCATCTGGACCTGGGGCCTTATCCCCATTGCAGCTCTTCAAAGCAATCAGAACTTCCTCCTCAGAAAAAGGCAACTCCAAACCCAAGCACTCCTCCTCAGAAATAGAGGCAAACTGCAACCCTTCAAGCAAAGGTCTCCACTCAACAATCTCTAAGAACAACTTCTCAAATAACTCTAAAAATCCTTTGCAGATTTCCTCCTCCTTACAAAGAGTAACCCCCTCAACCCGAATCCTCCCTATATGATTTCCTCTTCTATGAGCATTGGCCAATCTGTGGAAAAATTTCGTGTTTATTATCCCCCTCCTTGAGCCATAAGGCTCGAGATTTTTGCCTCCACGAGATCTCCTCCATGATAGCAATCTCAGAAAACTCTGCCTTGTACTCCACCCTCCTAACCTTCAAAGCTTCCACCAAATCCCCTTGACCCTCCATACGGTCAATAGCCGCAATCTCCGTAAAAACCCGATGTTTTCTCCATTCCAGATTCCCAAAGACCTCTTTATTCCAAGTCTTAAGATTCTCCTCTAAAAGACGCAATTTGCCTGCAAGCAGATGACTAGGGGTGCCCACCACACCATACCCCTCCCACCAAAGACGAAACCGCTCAAGAAAGCCCTCAGCCCACAACCACATATTCTCAAATCTGAAAGGAGATCGTCTACTGCACAACCCGCCACAATCCAACAACAACGAAACATGGTCAGAGATAGGACGAGGCAACGATGCTTGAACAACTTCCGAGAACCTCTCCTCCCACTCCCCCGACACAAGGAATCTGTCAATCCGGGAAAGGGTAGGAGGGGAACGGCCACTGGACCAAGTAAACGGCCCTCCAACCAAAGGCAAATCAACCAACCCGAATTCATCAATAAACTCCGAGAAAGCCTCCATATCAGACATCCACCTACCTCCCGTTGACCTATCAAACGGAGAGTGAACCACATTGAAGTCCCCACCAATACACCAAGGCAAACACCATCGACTTCTAATCTCCCCCAACTCCTCCCAAAGCAAGTGGTGCACACCATCCTCCGAAGGATCATAAACACCCGAAAGGACCCAATTAAAACCATCCTTAACCAAAGCAAGAACACAAGAAACAGAGAAGCGCCCCACCTGAGCCTCCACTTTAGACACCTCTCTGTTATCCCACATGATCAAGATGCCCCCCGAGGAACCAATAGCATCCAAAGCAATCCACTCCACAAATCTCCCACCCCAAAGACTCCTCACAATCCTATCAGACATCGAAGAAAGTTTGGTCTCTTGGAGACACACCACATGACCCCGACCTTTACGAATAACCGACTTCACCACTTTCCTCCTTAACCGGATCATTGAGACCCCGGACATTCCATGAAAGAATTTATAACTTCATAGGGAAACACTTTAGAAAGCAAACCCTCCCTTCCTTCCACCACCTCTCCCTCCTGATCTGGACCCCCTATTTCTCCTTTCATACGTGATAAAATCATTGGGGCTTTGCATCATTGTCTCCCCTCTCTTCTCCTACAACCCTATCTTACCACCTGCTTTTTTCCTGAAAATGAGAATTGAGGACATCATTAAACAAACACAGTGCCTCATCCACTCTACCCTCAAAAGAAAACCCCCAACAAAGGACCCACTTCCAATCCTTTCTCCCTCACCCACTCCTCCTCAAGATCATTCACTCCGACAACATTCGAGTCGCTAACCCAATTACCCCCAGGCGGAACAACAGCCAAAGGAACAGCCAAATTCACTGCTTGTTCCAAGTCTTCCCATAGAATCATGCCCGAGTCTCCATCCAGAGAAGAACCTGCAGCTCCCTCCCAATCATCAAGAACAGAAGAGGAATGCAAGCAAAACTGCTAAACAAGCTCCTCCTCTGTCAAAACTCCTCCTGAATCACCAAGAAAGCCTTTCGACGCCAAATGATCCCGTATCTCCTTCAACAGAATAGCAGTCGTATCATCATCAAGCTTCACCTTCACATCCCGACCAACACAAACTGTAACTCCCTCGCACAAGCCTTCACATCGCCGAGAGAAACCAAGTCTAAACCCAGAATCACCATCCTGTCTGTCCACAAGAACGGAGTCCCTCTCACCCTCCGATTCTTTATAGAACGAAACAAAAGCTGTCCCACCCTTCACCCGTTCCAAAGACATCGTCGACTCCCCCAAAAAAGGAGAAGTAGAAAAGAAACACGGTTTATT